AGAGAGAGAGAGAGAGAGAGAGAGAGAGAGAGAGAGAGAGAGAGAGAGAGAGAGAGTGAGTGTGAGAGAGAGAGAGAGGAATGCCTGGAATATAAAATGAGCTGAGAAAATGTCAATTGCAACTAAGTGGATAATAAATTATGATCTAATTAAGGGCTAGTGTACCGCAGATAGAGCTGACCTTAGGAAGCAGCAGAAAAGATTATAAAATCCTAGGATAATAAGGCCTGGGAAGAATATAAGAAAAATAGTATAACAGTAAGAGTACCGGGACGATAAACTCTAGATAGAATCTTCATACTTTGAAGTTGGAAACGTTAGGTCCGATCTATATAGAACGCAACTGAATCGAAAAAACAAGCCAAAAAGGATATTGAGTATTAAATTCCTTGGCAAATTACCAACTTGAGCAACTAATTCGATCATAAAGTCCATTAAGAAGTGCTAAGTGTGTTTTAATAGTCTTGGATAATCTTTTAGCCAAGCATAGACTCAAACGAATGCAAGACTTTGTGCTATAAATATACATATATATAATATATAATAATACAATATATAAGAGCCACTCAGATCGTAAAAATCCATTTTAGCTAACCATAGTAGCTATCATAAAGTTGAGTAGCTCTTGCAACTCGTTTGCGTAGCCTTGCATCAGCGGGAAGTGTGTTAAGAACTTATCTATTAATAACACATCGGTGTTAATAAAATTAGTCCAAAATAAACAAAGATTCTAGTTCTGAAAGTAAAATCTCTAGTAGTAGTATATGCATCTATTTGTGCTAAATACATATATGAACTGAAGATTGACTATATACTCTATCTAAGCCGTATATCTTTGTGAATTCAAAACAAAGACAATTTAGGATAAGCACTAACTGCTAGTCGAGCTGTCCAACTGGAATGGCCACAACTATATATGATCTCATTTTAAAACATCATAATATTCTTTATGCAAACTTTTCCTATGTAGCCAAACGAGTCGCATATTCGATAGACTCCTTGACACTACACTACATATAATAAGACGCGCATTTTTGCGGAAATTTTAACGCACGGTTAAAAGCTTTGGCTCTGACAATCGCTACATCAGTGTGGCTGCGTAGCGGCCAGGGGCAGGAGCCGGTGAAGAGGGGTAAAGATCATAATTGAGCGGGTAGCCAGGCGCCATGGTCAACGGAAAAGGTGAAAGACAAAACAGCCAATGCTCGCAGACATTGGGCTGCTGTGTCATCTTGCAGGCGCCTCTTTGTTTAACTTTAACGCTGCAGCTGCTGTTGCCTCTGCTACGGCTGTGCCTGGCATAGTTGACTCGTCTGCCTGACCTTTAGTGTTGAGCAAGCGCAACAACAAATCTGCATATCATTCATTTTGTGGCTGTCTCTGGAGCTGGAGCTGGAGCCGCTGTTGGGGACTCTCTGTTCCCGTGGCCGACAAAATTAGTTGGAAATGCGGGGGAGTTGCAAAACAATTTACGATTATTTGTCTGCGCCGACTGGGCTGACTTAAGCACGATGTTAATCGTCGTATATGTCCAGACATAAATTTCAAGAAAATGTCAAGGATTTGTTTGGTTTTTTTTTTTTTGGCAAAAAGAATACAGCGAAATAAAAGAGAAAGATCGTCGCACGGCAATAAAATGAATTACATACATACATATACATATGTATAAAATGCAATCAGCGGCTGGCTGGCTAATCGCTCAATCGGGTCGTTCGTCTGGAGGCCGACCTGTGGCTGCCTGCCTGCCAGTCCGCTTGACACATTAATTGGAGTTAGCCCAGACAACAACAACAACAACAAACGTGAGCAAGGTCGTTTCTTTCTTTTACTCGCGCCGCCCGAAAAAACAGAAGAAAAAAAAAAAAAAACAAACAAAATAAAAATCAAATCAAATCAAATCAATTTGCATATATAAATTCTATTTTCTGATTGGATCTGCCATTGAATTATTGGTTTTTAATGGCATTTCAAATGGTGCCTTTGTCTTTTCCTGCTTCTTTGTGTGTTTGTGTGTTAATTTGACACTCGCTGTCAAATGATTGATGTATAGAATTGACAGACAGTTTGGCACAGCCCTAAGTGGGTCAGTGTCTAGACATATATATATATATATATATATATATATATATATATATATATATATATATATATAACTAACTATATCCTGTTGTTATGCGGGTGATGTCAGCGGCTCTAAATTTTGGCTCGACTTTTGATGACTCAATTCCAAAAAAAGCGAAAAGTCGCGGGTTTGGCTTGACCATGTAAAGAAATAGAGATGGAAGCTGCCTCCGTCGCCGTCTCCGTCGCCGTCTCCGTTTCCGTCTCTGTCTCTGTCGCCGTCTTCGTCTCTGTTGAAGATGTTGTAATGCAGTTAATGAATTTCTGCTTGTATGTATATGTGTGTGTCTGTGTGTGTGTGTTGGCTCAAGCCAAAATTGGGCGCCAATTAACAATTAACAGTCGTTTCCAGTTGCCACAACAAATCAATGTTTATCTTATTTGATTTTTTTACTTTTCATTTTAGCCATGTGCCAGCTGCCATAAACAAAGCCACGCTTCATAATTGAAAAACTGCCAGCTAAATGGACGCGTAGCACGTGTGTCAGTCTGAGTGTGTGTGAGAGTGAGAGAGCGACATTTGCAAGCATTGCAGTGGACATCGAGATTGAGAGAGCGAGAGCAGCGAAACGAGCCAAACCAAAACACTGGCCAAAATGTGCAGCACCACAAAAATGGTTTACAGTTATAGAATTTTATGGCTTTCCGGCGTTTTACTAGGTGAGTACTATGTCCCCAATAATCGAGCCGACGACACGACAACAGACAACGAGCTGAAACGAGCAGGGATCGAGACACCAGTTGGCAGAATAATGAATGCTAAGCGCGTTGATTAGACGATTACTTTGAGGCCGAATCGATGGCACGCGTGAGCCACATAATAAATGTGTGAAGAGCAGTGAGAACAAGGAGAAAGATAGATGTATAGAGTGTAGTAAAGACCAAATACTCTATAAGAGGAAAGAGAATCGATAGAGAAGATTATGTATGAATGACTAATACTAAATTGAGTAAAATTTTAATAATAAAGCAAGTTTTTAGAATCTAAATTTATAATTAATAATAAGTATTAAATAATCTACGAATTTCTCTCTACAGCTCATATATTGCTGGTCGCCATCGATGCCCAGGAGCCAGCCAGTCCAGTATTTCAAAACCACAAGACGAAGGAATGGACGAATTTAGATAATATAACATTCTCCTTCGATTGCAAAAGGCGTTCGGTGGGCTTCTATGCGGACATGGAGTACAATTGTCAGGTGAGTGAGTGTGAAAGGGAGAAACATATAAAAGAGCTTGCGCTTAAAGCTCAAGCGATTTTATGAAACTGCCTAAAAGTAGGCAACAAAAAATATTTAATGCAATGTAAGCTGAGATTCAAATGAAAATATATTATAAAAAAAAGTTATAGAAAATTGTAATATTTTTTTAAATAGATAAAATATTAATAATAATAATATTTTATTTTTTTTTTTTTACATTCCATTGCAGATATTTCACATGTGCGACGAGGAGGGCAATCGAATACCACATTTGTGCGCCAATGAGACAAGCTTTAATCAGGAATACAGAATATGTGATTGGGACTACAATTTCAATTGCACAGAATCGCCGGTTAGTTCTGGACTCTTAAGCAAACATAAAACAGAAGATATTTATAAAATTGATTCATTCCAGAAATGGTTCTATCTGAACGAGTTGACATACGCGACAGATCCGCCAGATGAAGACGATGAGGACTACTGAATGCAATTAATTAAATATTTATTGTCTTTGAGAAAGAGCAAAACACTAATTAAATTAAATGGATCTAGCAAGAAGAAGAAGAGGATGAAGAAGAAGGAATGGATTGACGCAATGGAAATTAATAAGTTTCCATATGAATAAACATGTTAACTAATTTAAGAGATTTGTTGACAATTTTGTTGATTTACGTTTTGTATGTAGTCTAATTTGAAGAATCGAACTTGGGGCCATCGAGCGCCGAGCATCGTGTAAATAATGTAAATAGAAGGCCGTCAACTAACAGCAATGCGAAGGTCGTCGATAAATAGTTTACAAATAATGTAATTGTTTGTAAGTTGAATAAACAAAAAACAAAAAAAAAAAAAAGGAAAAAAAGTAATAAATGAAGCTCAAATTGCGTCCATGAAATGTAAAATATATAAAATACTCGCAAATCAAATAATTGTATATTCCTTTTTACCAATTTGCGTCGATTTGACAAAATGTTTTGCACTTATTACAAAATGTCGAAATTACTCTATACCTAGTATAGTTATTTTGTTGCTGCTTTTGTGTTTTTGTTTTTTGCTGTGGGAGTCACCGTCAGGCGACTTTTAATGGGTAAACAACCCCGATGAGTCAAGTTCAATGACGAAACAGCAAAGGTATTGAAATGGTAAAAGTGCTTTGGCCAATACTGACAGGGGTAATACACTTAAAAGTATTTGATTTTTCTGAGGATTAATTAAGATTTTTATAAGTTATGATCCACAAATTTTAGAACATCAATCCATCAGCTATAAAAATCAGAAAATTGTATTGGAAATGGAAACAAATATAGACTGAAGCATGAATATATAGAAGTAAGTATAAATAAAATGATGGAGGGAGCTAAATTAGCTTTGAAATATTGACTTAATTCGTATATGTATGTATATGTATGTATATATGTGTGGATATATATTCTAAACTGAATCGTAAAAAGCTTTTGATGTCTGAGACACAAATGAACATTTTCTTGATATAAAGGGCTCATAATTTTTCTAAAAATTGAGATACCTTCTCACTTTTCTCTTAAAGTTCACAGCATATAAATACCCCGATTTGATAATAAAAAAAGGGAAAATTAGAAAACATTCTGTAAAAAAACAACAAAGCCCTCTGAAGGCGTCAGTGCGTGAAATTGCAGCTTCCCGGTTCATGACTTATAAAATGCCATTGAGCACTCTACAGCAGAGTTAGTCTGAAAACTGAACTAAAACAAGCAAGAACCAATTGGATAATAATATATAACACTGAAACATATATCATTATTAAATAAAAAATATATCAAATGGCTCATCAACTCAGTTACCTGCTAATCCTAGCTCTGTTTGCCGTAAGTCGTAATGTTTATTTAATTTAAGAACAATTTTTAAAATATATTCTTTTTTCTGTTTTATAGTTTGCTGCAGCTCAGTACTATACGCCCTACAATCCCTATAATACGCCCAGTCCCACGTTCTCTAGTCTGAATGGGTATTACTATTCGACGGCATCGCCCTATTATTATAACACAGCGAACAGCTATTACAACGATGTTAGCATACGCATTTGGCCCTATGTTATTGGCCAATATCTGTATCCTACTTACTACAACAACAACATCTACAATCCCTATGCCACGCTGAATACGCCCAATTGGCAGACATACTATGCGAGTGCGTATCGAAGTAACTACGGGAAAAAGTAAATAGTGTTAATTTTAATGAATTAATTCTAGTTTGTTGCTCGTTGTGAAATTAGAAATTTATATTAAAATGTTGGTATATTGTTTAATAAAGTTTAGGTTAAACGAAAGAAAATGGAGAATTTTAGAAAAAAAAAACAGAAGAGCAGCGCCCTCTTCAGACCTAGAGATAGGTGCTGCTAAACGAAGCTCAGACTGTTGCTAAGTGACGGTGGGATAGCTATTAAGGCCATGTGGAAAGGATCGTAAGAGATCACTTTGTAGGGAAGATAAGAGAAGAAATAATATCTTTATTGTAGAGCAGAATATGCTATTCTGAAAGAGAAAGTATGTGGGGAAAGCAGCAGCTCACCGGGAATTCGGGAATTGATCCCGCTTATAAAATTAGACAATTAGAATGGAATGTAACCAAACTGGGAAAGGTCCGTCAAAGTAAATCCCATAATTCTACTCTTCATCTCTTTAACCTCTTTTGATTCTCGGTTGTAAAGCAAAAACTGCTCATATCTAAAAAATATACACACATTATGAGACGAATTTCAAGTCTCCAAGCAACTCTCTATACTCTATACACAACGGACAAAATCAATATTCCCCCTTTCCCACTTCACAAACGAGTATCGAACTATCTTCTGCTTAAGTAGCCTTTCGAAGAATCAATTTACCAACAGTTAGAAGTAAAACGTCAAAATGCTAATGATATAATCATTAATGATGTAATTTTGATAACAAGATATGGCATGGGCGCAAACACCGTTAGGAAATCATGTTCCGCGTTGAGCAAAGTGCGGCATTTTTAGACGGCTCTTTAGACACATTTCAGAGCATACGAAAGCAAAACAAACAATTCCATGCAAGCAAATCGCAGACTGAGTTGCAGAGCCGAGACCGCGTGCTACGTGGAGTCGTTGACACCGCGACTTCTGCTACAGCGCTGGCCATGACATTAGGTCTGGCAGTGCGCCGCGCTGCGATTACCACATGGGCCTAACGGATTTCACACTCGCCTGTCAGTTGGGTACCATTATGTAATGGCTAATAGGCAAGCTAAACAAATTGTTTGAACGAGCACTGAACTTGACATCCAGGTACGTCTGCACTTCGACTTGAGCGTTGTCTAGAAAAAAGGTGCTCATAGTTAGTTTCTTGACATTTAACCCACATTTGGGGTTGACATGATTCTTGGACAGAATCTACATTAAAGTTCGAGTTAACTGTAAGCTATTGTCTGTCAATGGGCATAATGTGCTAGAAATCAAAATTCAAAAATTCTTTACCTCACAGGAGCTGCACTCGCATAAATAACCTTTGCTTATCAATAACCGCTACTATGCGCACTTTTATCATGCAAAGCAGTTGCTGCGAGCAAAAGCCAGGTGAATGGATCGCAGAGACAGAGAGTAACAGAAAAAACAGAGAGCGGGAGAGAGAGAGCGAGAGAGAGACGTAGCGAGCGAGTGAGAGAGTGATTGGTTTAGTGGAGAAATGGGTCAAAACAGTCACAAAAGAGCGGGTAAAAGGCAGCCGGCAAACATGAGTTAGGGTTACATACAAAACAAGAAATGCTGAAATGAAAATGTTCAGCCAGACGAACCATTGATGCTCTTAAAACTATTGGCACTTTTATTGGTTAGAGAAGAAGTTAGAAGAGATTAGTAAAGTATAAGAAGTGACAAAGCAAAGATGAAGATTTTTGTTGCTTTGAATAGATAAATGTTATTTAGTTTAATTTATGTAAGAATTAGTCTTGCTTTTGATAATCCTCAAAGTATTTTCGTCACTTTCTGTTCTTATTTAGATGTATGCGTTGACCTACAAGATAGTTTTTTTTATGGCCTTTTAGGTATTGTTTTAACTTATTTGGTATAGCTTTAATTATAATTGGTTTGGAAGCAGGTTTTTGTTAACAAACAAAAGGTCTGCCAAGGTGTTTTTTATTGGTAGCAATCAGGAATCATCTTGGTAGCAATCAGGAAGTCAGCTACTAGCTTTTTGTCAAATAGCTTTTATCAAATTCTAGTCAATAAACATAACAAAAAATATTTCACTTGTAACTATTTCTATCGTCGAAATCAAAGAATTTATATATTCTCACTTTCATTAAAAAAGAGGATTAGAAAATAATACTTTAAGACCTATAGCGAAAAAAAAGATCTGATTTTACAGAAAATAAAAACGAAAATATTTAAAATGCCTAACTCAAAAGGTATAATAAAATCGTAAATTTTATACATATTTTCAAGACTAAAAAAACTTTCTAAAAGTTTATAAAACGTATTTAAAAAATTGTATATTAAAAAAAAAATTATCTTGAAACATAAACATGTTTCTAAAAAAAGTTCCATATAATTTATAATAGGGATTCGTTAAAAAAAAAAAGTAAATACTAATAGAAATATAGCATAATAAAATATTATGAGATTATTGCTCAATAATTCATCTAGCCTAGTAAAACTTTTATGAGTAGTAAAATCAAACAAAGAACGATAGTTGTCATGCCTCAAGAAGTACAAAAATGCTTATGCCACATGTGTCAAAGTAAATACGTGCAACGTGAAAGCTTTAGCATTGGCAGGGCAATGGGTTGAGTTGTGGCCGGGTGGCTCAGTGGTTGGGTGGGTCAGAGACGACTCGTGGTGCGTCGATCCCAGCCAGCCATGAGACTGTGACGTCAGCGCGTTGTTTGTTGTCACGTTCGCAAAACATTTTTATGCTCTGGCCCCTTGCACGATTATTCGTAATAGAGTCAACAAAGAGTCGAGCGGGAGCGGGAGCGGGAGTGCAGAGGCAGATGCCAGGGGAGCTGTAGAGACAGCACTGAGTCGGCATTTTTGGTGCGATCGTCTGCTGCTGCTGTTGCTGCTGCTACTGCCATTTAGGGGAAAATTGTGAAGAAAGTGTTGAAAACGAAACTGTGGCTGAGAGCGCGAGAGTCACAAAAGCAAACACGTTGATGAAGCGCGTATCACAGAGACTGGTCTGTGTGAGAGACAAAAATTTTTGCTTGGTCCAACTGCACGTCCAAGTGGGGAGTCCAGACTTTACCTGCTGGCCAAGACCATGGCCAACTGCCAGTCAACGGGCACAACTCAAGCACTGCAGTCGCGTCAAGAAGCTAACCAAACAAGTTAGGCACAAAACTAAATTCATTCGATACGATTTGGATTCGCATCTGCTGATCAGGCCAAAAACAATTTGCGTGGCGTGTGTGTTGTCTGTCGAAGAATTGTTGTAGTTATTGTTGTTATTGCCGCTACTGGCACAGCTGAGGTTGCTGTGCTCTTTAGTTGCGTGAAAGTCGTTGGAGCATTGAAGCCGTTGCAGTTAGTTAATTTGCAGACGAGAAGAGTTCAATGTAATAATTAAGGATACGTACAATATACGATATAACAAACAACACAGACAGTTAACAAGTGAAACCACATTACTCAGCCAGCTGCTAGACTAAAGCCATAATCATGCTGGTAAGTAAATAAAAAAACTAGATTCAAGTGCTCTAGATGTGTGTGTAAGAACAGAAATTAATTTTAGTTTGTTTGTGTTGTAAATAGCAGAGATTTGCAGGTGATGTACATACTATCAACAGCTCGAAGTGGGACACAGATAGATGCTAGCTGTTCCTAGCTGTAACCCACAAAATAATTTAAATCAACTCAGATTTGAGGGAGATGCAAGAGGAAGAGGATTTAAGACATTTGATGCCTGCTAAATCATATGCATTTCCAGGTTGTAGGAGGTAACTCTGCTTCAATTTCAGATCTGTGTCTAGTTCACTCGGATTCCATTTCAAAGTGGAATATATTTACATGTGATTTATAGGAATTTTTATAATTATGTGTTTAATGTATCAGAAACTTGAGCTTAGCATTCAGATGTCTCGATGTGGGCTTATTTAAATATGGAGAAATTTTGCAGGGGATTTGGAAATATTTTAAACATTTCACAGAAGAAGCTAAGCTTTAAATTTTATGCAGCTGTTGCCGACAAGGTAGCCAACGTTCCAGCGCTGACAGGGTAATTGCTAAGCCGCTTCAAATTGCTGGTTATCAGAGCTGGACTATTTATCCCTTATATTAGCGAATAAAAATTTATAGTTTTGCCCATAACAGAATGGAATTACTATCGAATTTTTGGCAGCCTGTGGCACTTGAGATAATGAACAAGATATGCCCTAAGAAGCTTTAAGTCCCAGCCAGTCAAAGTCTGAATTCATTGACAAATATAAGGTAAGCTAATATATAAATATAGAGCTAGAGATTAAAATTAGTCCGTCACATCATAACCGCCGCTCAAGTGTACAGGGTATGCCCTAATCAGCTTTAAATCATAGCTCACTCCCAATTCACATGCTTGGCACGCGTTCTCTGACCGTTTTACCTCAATTCTTCAATTGTTGCTGCTGAAAGGAATTGGCATTGACAAAAGAGTCAACAAATGAGCATTGTACATTTCTCATTGACAATTGACCAAAATAAATCACTTTGGCTAACAATTCTGGCCATGTTTACAATGTATACACATTTCTCATTGTTGCCAAAAAATGAACAAAAAAAAAAATACAGTAACAAGCGACAACTTTCTATTGAAGGCAGCTTAGTTGAACTCTGTTTTTTTTTTTATGCTGGCTGCTCTAGTATTAAATGCTTTTAAAGTGTTTTCCGTTTGCTGGCAACTCGATTTTTGTGTCATGAACTGTGACTTTAACGACCGCATTACATGCGACTCGTACAACCATTAGATAATGCGCACTTGTAGCTATAATTAGATTTATGCATCCACGTGCCTAAATTGCATCAGCATCAGCAGCAGCATCCGTGTTTTTTTGTAAGATATTTTGTTGTTAAGTTTATAGTTTTTTTTTATTATTTTATGGCCACTTGCTTGATGAAAGGTAAAACTTTATGAGACATTTATCGGTGGAACCATAAAATTTGATTGATGCATAAATACATGTAGTAAAGCGTAGCCTACTCATGCGCATATGGGCCAGAGGAAAGTTTAGGGCGTCAAATTCAATGTAGTCAATGTACCAAAAAGAAAAGCCAAGCCCAAAAAATGGGGGAAAAAAAACAAACAAACCAACTAACAACAAT